ATGATGTTTTTTTTTTTTTTTTTTTTTTTTTGGTACAAGGTCTCTGTAGTTCAGGTTGGCCTTGAACTTGCAGCGATCCTCCTGCCTGGGCCTCTGAATTGTGGGAAATACAGGCATGTGCCACCACACCCAGCTCAACAAAGCTGTTCTTAAAAACAAAGGAACAGAGCCAGGCATGGTGGTATAAGCCTATAATCCAGCACTTGGGAGGCTGAGGCAGGAGGATCACTGCAAATTCTAGGTCAGCCTAGGCTGGTGAGTTCAGGGCCAGCCTGAACTACAAAGGGAGACCCCTGCCTCAACCCCCCACCCCAATAAATAAAAATAAACAGATGCACCGTATAGGGTGCTCATTATGGCTCTTCCCTGTAGCTTCCCTGCCTGGTCTGGCCTCTGCCTTGTGTGCCAAGGGCTCCTTGGACCCCTTTGTGTCTCTTCCTCCCTGCACTTGGCACCTTCTCAGGTCTGGGTGCTGTCTCACCTCCACCCCAGCACTCCCTCCCTCCCCTGCAGAGCCTGTGTCCTCTCAGCTGCTTCTGCCTACCCCGGTGGTCTTCCTCGGCCTCTGACAGGTGTCACGGTTCTGAGGCCTTCCCCACAGGTCCTCAGGCTGGCAACATGGTATCATGGGCACTGCAGAACATGAGACTGTGTGTGTGTAGGTGGGTGGGTGTGTGGTACTGGGTACTGAACCGGGGACCTCTGTTACATCCCTGGCTCTTTTTTATTTCTTGAGACAAGGTCTCACTAAATTGCAAAATTACCCAGGCTGGGCTGGAATTTACAATTCTCCTGCCTCACCTTCCCAGAGTGCTGAGATTACAGTGCCCAGGAAGTCATTTCCTTCTCTAACATCCCCCCCACTCCACGCCCACCCCGAGTGCTACTGGGGATTGAACTAGAGAGCACTAGCTACACCCCTAGACTTAAAAAAAATTTTGTACCAGGGATCAAACTCAGTACCTTTCACTTGTGTGAGGCAGGCAGTAGCATCACTCAGCTAAATCCCCAGCCTTCTGTTTTGTTTTGATGTTGAAACAGTATCTTGCTACATTCCCCAGGCTGGCCTTGAACTTTTGATCGTCCTGCTTCAGTCTCTGGAGCACAGGTGTGTGCCACCGCACCTGGCTAAAATCTAACATTTATAACAGGGCTTCCCACATTTCCCACAATCCGTTCCTTCCCAGCATGGGCCCTGAACATAGAAAGATGCCCCAAAAGTCAGTGGCACCTCAGCTATATCAGGTCACCTGCGGCAAGTCCTGCTGACGTTGGCCTTGTCTGCTGGCTCTCCTGCCTGTAGCCAAAGCAGAAGAGATGAGGTAGAGGGCCGTGTGGCTAACCACACACCCCTCGAGTGCCAGCACTTTGGCACAAGGCCGCTCCGAGCCAAGAGACTGGCTACAAGGTGTGGCTGACTGGCCAGGTGATCGGGCATTCTGACCCCTATTTCCTGAGCCAGTGTGACCTTGGCCTTTCCAGGTTCTAAAACGCTTGTCTAAAAGACTGATGGAAGCCTTTGCTGTCAACAGATACTGTGAGCATCACATGCTGCATCCAAGGCCTCACCGCCACATGTCCTCAGGCGCCTTCTGGGCTGTCGGGCACCACACACCGTTGCTGCCTCTGTACCCCGCCTGTTCTGTATGTCCACTTTCAGGGTGAGTGTGTGTGTGTGTGTGTGTGTGTGTGCGCGCGCGTGCGTGCACTGGGGATTGAACATGGTCTTACCACCAAGCTGCAGCCCAGCCCTACTGTCCTATTAGTAATTGTCCAGGGCTGGGAGTGTAGCTCACGCAAGTTCTTTGTGTAGCCTGTGCAAGGCTCTGGATTCAGCCCTGAAGTTTCACTGAGCATTTAGGCCAAGCTAACATAACTTCCCATCTGCTCCCAAGTACCCCTCTTCCTGCCCCCAGGCCTGTGTGCTGTCCACACTTCCTCTCAGAGTCACTTGGCTGAGGCCTGCATAGCAATACAAGTACAGGATGAATGCTTCTCTGTCAAGTCCAGCAGAAGCCTAGAGTGGGTGCTTCCAGTTTCAGAAGACTCAAGATGAGGAGTTCCTGCTGTGGAGGAGTGGAAGGGGGTGGCCGCTGGTCTGTGAAGGATGTGCAGGGTTCTCCCCAGCGCCGTCATGCACTGCAGGAAGAGAACTGCTACCAAGAGCCAAACACTCCTGTGAGAGGGAAAATGGGGAAGGGCCATAGCTGGTCCACTGCTTCCTTAGCACAGCCCAGGATGTTAAAGGGGCACTGACACGGGCCCAGTCCCCCAGTAGCCTGCAGCACGGGGCAACACCTGGGGCCCTGTTTGTGACTTTCTCATGGTATTGTACTTGGGACTGGTCCCAGGACCTCATACTCAGCTATGTTCCCCAGGCTGAATTTACAATCCTTCTGCCTCAGTTTCCCACAATAGCTGTGATTACAGATGTCCACCGCTGCACCCAGACAAGGACTATGTTTTTATTTTTATTTTTGTACTGGGGATGGAACTTGGGTCCTTGTGCTTGTGAGGCAGGTGGTGGCACCACTGAGCCAAATCCCCAGCCCAAGGACTGTTTTTAAATCTCTAATCCAAGACTAATAAGGCTGTACTTGGAGACCCAAGACAAATGCTGCTCAAAATAAAAAAGGGCTGGGAACATAGCTCAGTGCAAAGGTCCTGGTTTCCATCAATAATCCTCAGTACTGAAACAAAATGAGCTTCTTCGAGAATTCTAGAAGGGCTGGGGATTTAGCTTAGTGGTACCAGTGCCTGCCTCCAAAGTGCAAGGTCCTGTCCTGGTACATTAAAAAAAAAAAAAAAAAAAAAAAAACAAAATCCAAGTAAAGCTGGGCACGCTGATGCATGCCTATAATCCCAGCACTCAAGGGGCTGAGGCAGGAGGATCACCACAAGTTTGAGGCCAGCCTGGGTTACATAGTGAGTTTGATGCCAGCCTGGACATGGGAAGGAAAAGAAAGGGATGCAAGTAGGTTTTTTTTGTCGTCTCCCCAAATCTCACCAGGTCCATTATAGCCAGCCAGTGAGAACTGTGTGGTTGCAAGGGTCACCCCAAATGAGCCTTAGCTACTTAGCATGTTGAAATTGCTTTATTCTATCACAGACCCCTTTCATTCCTTCAGGACAGAGAGGATGGGGAGAGCCAGACAAGTTCAGCACTGTTCTCCCACAGCTCTTGCTCAAGACCTGCTTCCAAGGTGGTCTGCACAGGAGAAACACTACCAGGTTTGAACTGGGAAACTCTTCAGCTGAAGATAACAGAAGGCACTGTATTATATTTTGCCAAATCAAAACCTTATAGTCTCACCTTTTCTACCTTATTAAACATCGAAGAGTTGTCTTTCTTAATCAACTGATTTAAAAAAAATTTAAAAAAGAGCCAACTTTGTAAACATCTTCAGAGTTTAATTTTATAATAAAGTGTTTGAATAAGTAGACCTTAAACAAAAAGGGGGTGGCGGTGGTCTATAAGCTTCTCATGCTCAGAGGAATGGTGGTGCCTGCCTGTAATCCCTGCGCTTGGGAGGCCGAGGCAGGAGGATGGCTCCAGCCCAGGACTTCAAAGGCAGTCTGGGCAACACAGTGGCTGTTTGTATTTTCAACCGGGAGGTCCTGAGATCTGAGGGTAGAGTTTGCCATCCTATCCACAGTGCTAAACTTCCCAGGAATTCTGAAGATCAACCAAGTTCAGGGGGGAGGGGCGCTCACTCCTTAGAAACATAGTTCAGTGCAGATGAGGCCCAGGTGGTCAACCCACTTGCTCCCCAACGGTAATATAAGCTAGGCAAGTTGGAAGTAAGGACCCAAGAGTCCAGACTCCCTGACCTAACCTCTTTCAGTTGAAATTTATCTTAAGAAAAGGGGGGGAAGAAAAATACAGAGTGAAGAATTCACTGCATGTTTATTATTCACAAGAATTCATTGTAGGTTTATTATTCACAGTTAATCACTACCTACCAAATGCTATCCGCAGTTAAAGGATTAAGTACATAGGTCTTTTTATTTAAACACTGATTTTTTTTTAAATATATACACACAAAACTTAGTTCAGCAAGGCTTCATGATATACACCAATTCCAAAATAACACAATCAAACGGTCCAGGTGTAAAATGCCAGAGATTTCTTTATCATCAGCAAGAGGAGCAGCAGGATGAAAGGAAGCCAGGTTGAGGCAGGAAATGCCTGGGCCTTGCTGTGCTCCAGGCTGAGTCCATCTCCATACCGAGTCCAGGGAGATGCCGCCGACCTGTCAGAGCCCTGAGGCCTAAGACTGCCACCAACTTCCAGGAAGAGAGATGGAAGAGGGGCTGGGGGGAGGAATGGCTTATAGGCACATCACGAGGGACCAGAAGTTGACAGAAGACGGACAGAGAGCTGTGCAGCAGCTGTGGCCTTCCTGTCTTCCCAACGCCTCCTCTAACCCTTCCTACTGCGAGGTGGACGGTGGGATCAGCTGCTAACACGGCCCGCGTGAATGGATGGACCCACAAGCCTGCTCTGACTGGCTGCTGTCCCAGTGCTTGCCCTGCAGGTCAGGGGACTCACAGGTAAAAGCTAGGGTCTCATTTTAAGAGCAAGAAAAATAAAAAGCAAGCACTGTAATTCCCACCCCAGTGGGACTGGGACAGCTAAGGAAGGCAGTTAGAAGCTATCCCCTCCGCTAGCTTCTGTGTTTGCAGCTTGCTGGCTCCCAGGGTTTGTGCCTGGGGGTCTCTGGGGACAGGAGTAGACCACACCTGAGACCTGGAGGTCAAGGACTGTGACGTCCTCGCAGACAGATTCCATCACTTCTGGGGGTGGGGCTCACAAATATTAAAGCTGCACCCGCAAAGACTTCTGGCTGACAGGCAGACTGCCCATACCCTCCACTTCTGCTTGTCTCCTTTCTCTACCCTGTTTTCCCTTCCCATGAGGGAAAATATTTACACAGAGTAGGAGACAAATTGGATGAAAAGCTCTGGACTGTCTTTAACTTATTTTAAAACAAAACAAAGAACACTGCTCATAAGCAACCCTTGAAAGAAGGAAAAAGGCACTATGAAAAAACAACATCTGGAGGGGCCGAAGTGGGCAGAGGCGCAGGTTTGCAGTCTGACTTTCTCCGGAAGCCACGTGGCAGCAGAGCACCGACCTCCACATTCTACGCCCCCCAGTGGTCCAGGGCTCTCCTCTGGCGGAGTTGCAGCACAGGCCCCAGGCCACCCGGCCCACTCCTTTTTTGTGTATATATATGAAAATCATGGAGACGGCTGTTCTTTCAGTCATTTCCACTAAAACAGACTTTTTGCATAGAGAAAATACCAGCCCACTTGGTTTCTTTTCTTTTATTATTGGCATCAGCTGGGACTATACGTGGCCTTAAATGTCATGCACTGAAGGACAGGAGAAAAAGATGAGAAAAAAGACACAGGAGGGAAACAGGAGCAGTGTGGAGAATCTGTAATAAAAACTTAATAAGTAAATCTTGATATCCAATCCCCCTCCCACTCCCCAAAGTTCCAACCAAAGTGAGAGGGTCACCAGTGTGACCAGCCAGATGTTCTGAGCTTCCTACAGGCTGCTGTTAAGAGGCAGCTTGTGGGTGTAATTCTTTTGTGTTTTTAATTTTTCACTTTCCTTAAATATTCTCTCTGCTTCTTAGACGTTCCGGTTCACAGGGGTGACGTAGTTGCGGGGAAACATGCCAGTCTGCCCGTGGCAAGCCCCCTTCCACCAGTTGGGGTCTGAGTTATCCATGACGTGGATGAAATCTCCCCGGCGGAAGCCCAGCTCACCATCCTCCTGGGGGTCAAAGTCAAAGAGGGCCTGGACATACGTCGGCTGCTGCAAGAGAGGAGCAGGGAAAACACACATGGCGCTCCTGATGCAGATCCTGCCAGTGCTGGGGGAGCAGTGCCTGAAGTACCCTCTCTATTCCTACATGTCCTAAGCTTACCCGGGGTGGGTTTAATGTAATTTTCCACCAATGCTCAAAACACTAGTGTGTGTATCTCTGAGCACGGCCATGTGCCACATCAAGTAGGGAGCAGCATGTCTGCCTGCAGGACAGAATTGGGGTTTTGTTTACAGATTTAAAAGGTTCATGTTCCTATCATTTACAATGCTCTCAAGGTTTTATGGGGTCCAAAGCCCTAGAGCTGGAGTAAAGTAAGTAGCCATAGCTCATGGCTGGGATATCGGCAGTAGGAATGAGTGAATACGGACCTACTCCCTCCCAAGTGTGAGTTCCCTCACGGTGTTCTTACGGAGGAAGTGTTAAGGGCCATCTCCTAGGCAGACAGGTGGTTAGGCAGCAGCGTGGCTTGGAGGGCACCTCTGGAAAAGGCACAAACACTCTAGACGACAGAACTTCCCATGAATGAAGGTGACACTGAGTAATTCGTGAAGCAGCTCCAGAAGTGACTCTCTGAGGGGACTGGCCTGCTAAGGAGCTAGTATTCCTGCTAGAACTGACCCGAAATGGAGGTTCAGGCTCACCTGCGGCACCTGTTCTATGTCCCGTAGGAATATCTGCTGGTTTCTGGACACGGATGTTGATCTGTGGTAATCGACCAGCTCATTCAAAGAATTGAACTTCACCACCCAGAGGAAATACTTTCCGGCCCCATCTCGGAGGACCTTGAAGTGCTGCACATCATTTCCAAACCTGTGAGGCAGGGAAACACATGTGAATGGTCACAGGGATCCGAGTGGCTGGGCAGGGGCTGCCTGGCTTGTAGGTGTGGAGAGAACCACTTTTCTCACCAATTCCTCACAGCCTGAGGGTGCAGGAATTGCACGGTGAGCTGCTTGTAACTGAAGAGAGCTGGGACAATCATGGGCATCCCTGGTGCCCTTCATGACTGACAGTTACTAGGTTTTTTTTCTTTTGAGACAAGGTCTCACTATGTAGTTCAGATTAGCCTTGAACTCACTAGAGATCCTTGAACTTGCAGCGATCCTCCTGCCTCAGGAATGTGCAACAATACTCAGCCCCAGGTTACTAGTAACAATTTGAAGAATCCTCATAGGCGGAAAAATCCCACCCATCAGCCTAATTCTGAAGATGTCTTTAAGATACAGTGTTCTAACCCACTGCACACCTCTTCCCTGCACTGCTGAGTAGCAGAGCCTTACGTACAAGGGCTGTGGCATTACTGATGTCTTCAGAGGCAAAATTATTAAAATATGATGCCATACTTAAAAACTAAGAAAGATGGGAGAGAAAGCAAGGTAAGGAAGGACTGGAAATACTTCAAATAATTCTCTTGTAACTGGGAGCAAGATCCAAATTGTGCTTTCATTCAGGAACTTTAGTTCAGCTCTTCTTCTTCATGGGTAAATGGTGTCAGGACCAAAGGACATTCTGGGACAATAAAAGAGGCCCTGGTACCAAAGAAAAAAACCTGATATTGGGTGGGGCATGTAGCTCAGTGGTGCTTGCCTGCCTGGCAAGCACAAGGTCCTGAGTTCAATCCCCAGTATCAAAAAAACAAAAAACAAAAAACAAAAAACAAAACCAAACCAAAAAACCCCTATGTTGCTGGATAGCATAGTCCCTTTAACACTGGTCAGCACAAATAGCAAGAGCTACTGGTACTGGCCCATGGGATCTGTCACAGTGACATCCGGTCAGAACAGAAGCTCAGCAAGGGTTTTCCCATCCTGTCTATTGCAGAGCCCTCAAAAAGCACACAGTGAACATTTGTTCAATGAAATGCAGTTTTCTCTCCTTCAGGCTTAAAAGCCGGGAGAAACCAAATGCTTCCAATCCAGCAGGTGGCAGCACTAAGCTTCAGCAAGGACCAGACACACAAATGTTTTCTCTTTTCTAGGGAGGACTGCCCCAATACCCTGTGGATGCCAGAAAGCGCAAATACCAAACCCTACAAATATGCACCATGTTCTCCCCTGCACAAATACACGTACATGACTATGATAAAGTTCAATTTTCAGTAAGACAATAATAAAATCAATTATAACAATACACTGTAAAAAGCTATTTAAAACCTATGAGTTGTTTATTTTTGGAATTTCCCATTTAATATTTTTGGACTGTAGCTGACCTCAGGTCACTGAAACCAAAGAAAGTGGAACTGCAGATGGGGCAGGGAGGCGACTGTACTGCTTTTTCATGCAAGAAGACAGTAGGGATGGGGAGAAAGCTCCACCAGCAAGGGCTCCAGGGGCACTTCTGGCCGCAGCAGCCACTTGCACTGGGCTGATACGGCTGGACTCCAGTGCATGAGCCTTGAAAGTATGCTTTACGTCAGCCAGTGTCTTAAATCAGACTCTAAACATCTTGAAACTAGAGAAATGTGTCTCAGAGTCTTGATGTTTCTTAAATTCTCATGTTGTTAAAAGACAACAGTGATGTCTCTTTCAGATTTTATTTCTGAAATAGTAAGTGCATCGACTTCTCGAAGTGAAGGAATGGTCTGGTCTTCTTGGTGCAGGACAGACAGGCAGGTTTGCGGCTCAGCATGACGCCCAGTGCTGCTGGCCACTGCCTACAGATGAACTGCTTGCTCTTGTTAGCTATTCAGTTCTATTTAGGTCAGTATAACACATTAGCTTTTTACAAGCTAATGAAAAAAATTAAAATGGCAATTACAGCAGGCCGGGGCAGGAGGACCTCAAATTCCAGGTCAGCCTGGACAAGTCAGTGAGACCTTATCTCAAAAGAAAAAAGGGGCTGGGATGTAGCAGGGAACTCCAGTGGTACAGCCCAGCAGGTGTGAGGCTCTTGGTTTGATCCCTATTACTGCCTATCCTCAAACAAGACAAAAATAAGAAAACCCCCAAGATAATTCTATAGACTCACCCTAAAATGTCCTCTATTAGGTCCTTAATTGCATATTCTCAACAAAAGGCCTTGTTACAAGAGGAAAACTGATAATTACATCGTTTCGCTTTTGCGTATGTCAGGAATAAAACTATACTGCAACTATATTTATTTGTGAAGTAGCACAATGATCATCTGACAACTCTCAAATCTTTATTCAGAAAAAGGGCATGCCTGTAATCTCAGCACTTGGGAGGCTGAGGCAGGACAGCTGTAGTTTGAGGCCAACCTGGGCTACACAGTGAGTTCAGGCCAGCCTGAACTGCATAGTGAGACCTTCTCTCAAACAAAGAACACAACTGTTGGGTGTGGAGGTGCACATCTGTAATCCCAGCAATCTGGAAGGCTGAGGCAAGAGGATAGCAAGTCCAAACCAAATAGTTTAGTGAAAGCTTGTCTCAAAATAAAGAATAAAAAAGGAGATTGGAGGGCCAGGGATTTAGCTCAGTGGTTGCTCCACCTGCCTTGCAAGCACAAGGACCCAAGTACAATTCCCGGTACAAAAAAAAAGGAGGCTGGAGATTTAGCTCAGTGGGAAGGCCATGGGTCCAACCTTCAGCACCACAAAAACAAAACAAAAAGGGCTGGGGATTTAGCTCAGTGGTTCCGGTGCCTGCCTCCAAGCACAAAGACCTGAGTTTGATCCCTGGTACCAAAAACAAAAACAAAACAAAACAAAAATACTCCCCACAAGTATAATTTTTTTTTGGTACCAGGGATCCAACTTGCAAACTTGTGCTTGTGAGGCAGGCAGTGGAACCACTGAGCTAAATCCCTGGTCCGACAAGTATAAATTTTTAACTACACTTCAAAGAATCCCACACACTAAGCAGAAGATGGTCCTAAAAGCAAAAGCAAAGTAAGATACCTCAACCCTTTTAGTTTTTGAGACAGGGTCTCTCTCTATGTAGTTCAGGTTGGTCTTGAACTCACAATGATTCTTGTGCTTCAGCATCCTGAGTGCTGTGATTACTGGTATACATCATGATGCCCAGCACTCCAATATATTTTTTAGCATACGTGCAGCTGAAGTGAGCACGCCAATATATTTTTGAAGTGGAAGTCTTATACTTTATATTATTTGTAACTGGGAAACTGATTTATAGTGCTCATTAAAAAAAAATAATTTTAATGTAATATAACCTAATCACTACCTTGTATATAAATGAAGTGATCTGTAAGATTCCTGGAGGAGGGTTTCCTATGATGATGTATTTACTAGAAAAGGACTAAAAGTGACAGAGAAAATGATTACTGTTGGTGCTTTTTTTTTTTGAGACAGGGTCTCCATGTGTAGTTCAGGCGGGCCTTGAACTCTTGGGAGTCTCCTGCATAGGCCTCCTGAGTGCTGGGATTAATAGGTGTGTGCCACCACACCTGTCTGAAAAAGACAATTTAAAATCTTCATTTAACAAATGAGATCGGGCTGGGGATTTGGCTCAGTGGTTCTGCCACCTGCCTCGCAAGCACAAGGGCCCGAGTTTGATACTTCATTTAAAAAAAGATCGGGCTGGGGATTTGGCTCAGTGGTTCTGCCACCTGCCTCGCAAGCACAAGGGCCCGAGTTTGATCCCCAGTACCAAAAAAAAAAAGTGAAAAATTGCTAGGTGTGGTGGCGCACACCTGTAATCCCCCCAGCACTTGGGAGGTTGAGGCAGGAGGATTGCTGCGAGTTCGAGACTAGCCTGGGATACACATGGAGACCCTGTCTCAAAAAAAAAGCAGTATGAACTACACAGTGAGACCCTGTCTCAAAAAACAAATTAGATATTCTGCTCAGACTCCTTAAAATTCTAATTTATAGTTGCCATTATTTCTCGTTTTCCCTACTGCCTGCTTACTATCTACCTTCCACATTTTTTTGTTTTTCTATTTTTTTGAGACAGGGTGTTGATAGGCAGTCCAGGATGCCTTGAATTCATTATGTAACCCAGGCTGGCCTCAAATTTGCAGTGATCCTTCTGCCTCCCCACTGCTGGGATTATAGGGGTACACCACCAAATATGGGCTACGTTCAATTTTTTTTGTTGGTATTGGATATTGAACCCAGCACTTTAAACCTGAGCTGCATTATATCTCCTGCCTTTCTCCCCTTCCCCCAGCCCTTTTTAAAATTTTGAGACAGCATCTCACCAAGTTACTAAACTGCCCAGGTTGGGCTCAAATGCGATTCTCCTGCCTTAGTCTTCTAGAGTTCTGGCTTACGGGTTCCCTTCCACAGTTGAACTTACTGCCAGCAAAGTGAAAACCCGAAGGCCCTTGTGGTAGTTACCTTTTTTAACTTAATGTGAAGAGCTAGGATGGGGGTGTGGAGTTAAGTGGCTGTCAGCTGAAGGCAGGAAAGGCAGCTGACACGGAGTGTACAGCAGGAATCCCACTAAGGGCAGGAACTAAGACTGGTGGGGATTAGGGAAAAGTGGCTATGTGCAGTCTCAGGGCTGCTGCTCAGCTCCTACACTTGTGCCATTGAAGAATCTAAAGCCTGTGCAGCCAGAACTAATTTTTACTAGGAGTCAGAGGTTAGGATTTTTCAGGAGTGGTGGCCTGGGGACTCTTCACAGGGGTGATTTGCCACTGACCTGTATCCCCGGTCCTTTTTATTTTAAGACACGGTCTCATTAAGTATCCACCAGCCACAACCTCCCAGCGTGCTGGGACACAGGCGGTACCACCAGGCCCAGCTCAGAAATTAGGATTTTAATGTGAAATTAAATACAGATTAGACTGAGCCTCTACTAGAGCTTGTGCATAGCCAGAACCCTGACAGTTCAGCCAGCAGGAGACAGGCTTCCAGGCAAGCAGAGCAGGAAATACTTACTTGACGGAGAGGGAGAAATCCCCAGGAGCGCTCTCACTCTCCCGGATTAGAAAGGCCCCATCATGCCGCTGTTTGCTAAGCATTTCTTCTGCCTTGGCTCTGGGGATTTTGCCAAAAAACCACCTAAGGAAGGAAGGCAAGCCAGTCAACATCTGCTTCCCCACCAAGAAACGGGATGTCCAGCCTTAATGTGAGTAACAGAACACTCGTTGCCAGGGGACAGTTTGCTCTTTACCCTCGTCTCACCAAGCCTGAGGCAAGGACATGGGGTGGGTCCTCCCCCAAGAGACTGACCTTCCACTGGCTGCACTATACTTCACTTTCCAGAAAGTGAATCATCAAGCAAGGCACTATCACAGGTCACTTAGAGGAAGACACTTGAAAATGGGTCCCTTGAGCCAAAGCAGACTGGCCCTCAGCTGACTCATCAGACAGGGACCCAGGAAAAACCTGGTGCTACGGACATGAAACACAAGACAAATGACACAAGGGACACAGGCCCCTTCCTGCAGACATTCTGTAAGGCTGCAGCTTTGCCACAGTGGGAATGAAGTACAGGGGAGGAAACCTGCAGGTCCCAGAAGTTAAAGGCAGGGCTACTTCTCCAAAGAGCTGCAGAGACAGCGGCCTCCACCTGTAAGGAAGGTCAGCAGCATTCCTCAGAGCCTCTCTGGGTCACTTCAGCACTTGGCTTTTAAAAGCCATCTCCTGGCAAGAGCAAGGTCCTGAGTTCAATTCCCAGTTAAAAAAAAAAAAAAAAAAAAAAAAAA